CAATAATCACGATCAGGAATCGGTTTGAAGACTCTATGATAAGTGGCAGCGTATTGGTCAGATGAGAAAAACTTATCCACAAATATAACATAAGACAAACTACGTTGTCTGCACACGGCTAACACATGGGAGCATGGAATCTTATATATCTCCATCCTTTTACAAGTGCAAGTTTTCCGTTGTAGATGGACAATTTGTTTTCTCCCACCCTTCCCCAACGTTCGGCCACCACAACCGGTTTCCACTTGAAATATACCTCGGCCCAAATCAAATGGAGTGACACTCTGTGATTCTTTGCCTTCTCTCTATTTTTATCAATTAAATCTGTGATGTGTGGGGAGTACCCGTGTCCTTCTGTGAGCCTCATTTTAATGGTTTCACGCCTATTAACAAAATAAGCATTAACCCGGTAAAATGAAACTTGGACCAAAGCGGTGATGGGAAAATATCTGGCATTTTTCATCACACTATTGAAAACCTCTGCCAGATTAGAAGTGATGATACTGTATCTGTACCCGCTATCGTGGTGCAGTGTCCACATTTCCGGGGGAATGTTGCCCAAAAATTGTCGTGCCTCCAAACTCATTTCACCTATCTTCTTGAACCCACCATCAAATTTCTTTTTCTAATGTTGCCGTGCAGTCCAGACAAAAAGATTTTTTAGATGAATGTCTTTGAAATGAGTGTGCACATTTGATGCAAGATGACGGATACATAGCCTATGATGCGCATAAGGCTCCTCCCACGTACTGCCCACCTCATTCATTGCCCTGACAATACCTCCATGTCTACCAGAAATGACACACAACTCCCTATTAGTGACAAACTACCTAATACATGCCATAAACCATGGCCAACTATATCCATTCTCAGATTCAACAACTACAAATGCCACTGGAAATATTTGATTGTTCGCATCACAACCCATGACCACGAGCAATGTACCCTTGTACTTTCCATACAAGTGTGTGCCACCAATAGTAAGTACGGGTCGACAATGCTTAAAACCATATATTGATGCCTTGAATGCCCAAAAAACTCTTTGAAACTGCATATAACTTGTGGGAGTATTGGGGGGTGGGTACCACCGCACAATAGTTCCAGGATTTGAATGTTGGAGCGCTGTCATGAAACGGGGCAATTTAGAATATGACTTCTCCCAACCGCCAAATATTTCTGCTATGGCTTTTTGCTTCCCCATCCACGTTCTCCGATATGATACCGTATACCCATATTTTTCCTTCAGCATCTCAATGATAGTATGCACTTCAAGGGAAGGATCAGTGCGAACAATGTCAATCACATCTTTAGAGATGAAATCTGAAGTCAAAGCCACGTGATCGGTAGTGTCGGTGTTGCCAACGCACGTAGCAGAATGAGGTCCAGGATAACGCACAATTATGAAGGTGTCAAGGTTGCCTTTGTTCTTTGTGGCGCGTATTCTCCAGGGGCAATGGAATTCTTTCTTCCTTTTGCATTGTGCCACCCATTTGTGTTTATCGGACTCTATCACCCGATAAAATTGGTTCTGTTTGATAGAATACAAGCTCACCATATTGATGACTTGTTCTTTGTTGTCAAACTGTTGACAGACCTCAAACTCACCATCGGGGGTAAACCTTTTCTCACCTGATCCACTCATCCACGCATCAGTAAAGCCCTTCAGGGAGATCATACATTCTAGTAAAGTGGCTAGACGGGGTAGTTGCCGTGACAGTATCACCATCATCTTCATCAGATTCTGTCATGTCATCACCATTGATGTTCTCGTCAGCATCATCATCACTTCCCTGCCCATCCACAAATGATGCACCGTTGTGTAAATACCTACCATCTTCCTGTATAACCATGTCCAGTACAGGAGCCTTTGAGGAGTTCCCTGCATTCACCCCTGCAGTGACAGCATGCGTAGATACAACAGCATTTGATGTTGATTGGGTACCATAAGCGTCACAGGATTCCTCAATGTATATCTCCAGCGTCGACATATCCTCCATCTGAATTATGCCCCACATATTTGTTATACTAGCTCATTAATGAGGGGCATAAGCATGTACTTTCTCCCGTTCATGAGAAATTTCATTTTCAACCGCAAAGAACGGCCATTATGAATCATTGTGGCAACATGTATTTTTTGAAGGATCTCGAGCCTGCAAGCGCCACGAGAAACCATGACAAAGCTGGTTCTACCACCTTCATGGCATATTTGCCCACCATTCTCATAATAGTTCCCTCCCCAATGACACACGATTGGGAAGCTTGAGAAATCCATATTCTAATAACAATTCATTGTCCAACATTCATGAGTAGGCATCAATATACACACTTTATACGCATTCAAATTTTCAATAGAAAAAGCTACCAAAATTGTAACATATCCAAAAGTCAATATCTACCTTTCAATACCCAAATTTAGCTACATTCAAGTCTACCCAAATGCCCAAATGTCAAAATACACATTAAAATCAATATTCAATTTAAAATCAAATTTCAACATTTCATACATATCCACATTTCACAACAACGGAATTCACAATCAATTCATAATCCAAAAATTTGAAAATTTTTAGATTCAAAACCCTAAGTTCAAAATGAGATGAAATGGAGTTTGATTTACCTTGAAGAAAGAAGAAAGAGTGATGAAGATGGAGATGGAGGTTCGCCGGAATGGGGTCACCGGAGAAGGAGGTTCGCCGGAATTGGAGATGGCTCGTCCTTCGTCGGTCGTCGCGCATCCTTCGCCGCTGCAGCAAAGGTTTGGGGATTTAGGGGAATAAACGCATTCTGTTTGCGAACCAACCCGTCTGCCTATTTAATAGGTAAGTTGCCCAACGGTTGGGCGACTTATAAGTCGCCAAACCGTTTGGCGACTTATAAGTCGCCCAACGGTTGGGCGACTTATAAGTCGCCAAACCGTTTGGCGACTTATAAGTCGCCCAACGGTTGGGCGACTTACCCCGACCCTGGTTAACCCAGCAGTATATTAGTAAATACTTTTAACCCAACCCTATTTTCGTAATTATTTAATTAATTAACATTAATTAGGAAAAAAACTCAATATTATGGAGTACAAAAATAAAACATACTTACAGAAATAGAAATATGACTAATAGTTAAAAAAAATGGGGGTTTCAAAATATTACTAAAATAAAACATATTTGCATAAATATGACTAATAGTTACTATAATGTAATGTCATAGTAACTTAAGTTTAAAAATAAACATAAGTTAATATGATTTATTATTACTCTAGTCATTAGTCAAATTTTTGTAAACAATCTTTATTTTAGTAATAAATACTCTCTCTGTCGCTTATAACTTTGCCAACTTTCCTTAATTGGATGTCCCATTAACTTTGCTAATTTCCCATTTAAGTAAAGAATTTGTGATTCTAGTTAATTCTCTCTCCTCTGCACAAACATCAACCACATAGTTTTTACTTTATAACAATGTAATTATATCAATAAAAACATGTTTACAAAGAACTACATTGTTTTAAATTCCCGATATAGAATTAATCATGTGTGTTTAGACAAATATATCCCAATAGCTTTTTGGACTACCTAGCCCAGCCACCACCATCGGCCTCTGGCCACCTCCGCCGGCTAATGCCCACCGCCCAACTGTCCCAAAATTTTCAGATTGAATTTTGGCTAGTTTTACCCCGCCAAGACTCGCCAGAGCTCTATCGCCACCGAACTGCCTCGCTACCAACGGACTGTCCCGGTTGCCCAAGTGAACTAGAGAGTAACTTATTGTTTAGATTAAGGGTATTAAGGATAGAAATTAATTTTTAATCCTATTTGTGAATGATTTAGGTTTTATTCCTATTTATGCACTTATATTTTGATTTAATCACATTTAGGGTAATTACTACTCCCTCTGTCCCATTGGATTTTGTCAACTTTTCTTTTTTGTTTGTCCCAAAAAAAAATTCCACTTTTCTAATAAAAAACTAATTTGTGATTCTGCACAAACCTCAATCACACAGTTTTTACTTTTCTTATTTCTCACCTACTTTAAACTTGGCAAAGTCCACCGGGACGGAGGTAGTATTTAAGTTACACTAAATTACTGCACTAGTGAAATGTATACTTTGTTAAAATACTAACACGACTGAAGTAAACGCACCTGTAAAATAAAAAGGCACATAGAAATCTTAGCTTACCAAGCATTCATCTTCTTATGGCCGGTTTGTTTGAGGGTTAACCTAGGTTATTGGAGGTTCAATTTTTTGTTAACCTCGTTTGTTTGTGTTTTTGTGAACTATAGAAAAGTGGTCTATAGTGACACTAAATTAGTGTCACTAAAAATTTTAGTGACACTTAAAAAGTGTCAACGAATGGTGGGAGTTGTGACACTAAAATTAGTGTCACTGTAAAAGTGTCAGTAAATTATGACACTTTGATATCATAAGATTCAGTGATACATTTGTATCATAAATATTAACGACACCTTGGTATCTTACATGATAGTGATACACTAGTATCATATAAGACTATGTGTGTCTATATATATACATACTAATAATTGATTGGTCTCATAATTTAGATATTAGTAAATAATAGAAATACCAAACAAGCTTTTTATTAATAATTTAATATAACAACAATCTGGCATTTTAATGCCAATACAATATCACAATATCCAATCAAATAATGTACAAGTACTAAACTCTACTACAAACAAACTACAATTCCTCATAAAAGTAAAGACTTTGTGATATCTTGGTGGACATAATTATCCATCCTCCTTTGAGCCGAAAAGTCTAGAAACTTTTTTGCCATCTGCAGCAGCAAGAACAACAATAATGATAAAAATAGAGATCAATTGGGTTAACATTAGTTTATAAAATAATACTAAATAATTGAGTAGAGAAAAAACAGAGATTACCATTTGAGATGGAAAGAGAGGTGAGTGAGCTTGAGGATCCATAGCTGGTAGCTGAAATGCTATCCTTGAGAGCATCTAAAAGTAATATTTACATCTTTGTTTAATAGGGGAAAAACAGCAATGGCATTGGGAAAAGAGGAGGACATGAGAACTTAAAGATGGCTTCTTACGAGGTCTGCAAATCTGGGACAAGGAACGAAGGTCAAATGCGTATATCAGCTCTACGACCATAACGACATCGTTTCTTGTTGTTCTGTGTACTTAACCGAACGACGTCGTTTGGCGGATTGAATTAATTATAAAAAAACAGTCTGCTCGATCTTTGCGTCTCTGCCCCTCTATATCTCGCACAACAGGTATCCAACGAAGAAGATGAAGCTTATGGGGTGGCACCAGCACCAGATCACACTCCCTAATTCCGCCCCTGAGTAGAGCCATTCCTTGTGCACTCTGTTAAGGCAAGTCAATTACTTCTTATTGGTCAGTTGATTGACCTGCACAATTTTTTTCCCTGCAATGATACAAGCATTAAAATATAAAAGTGAGTGAATGTAATCAGTGTTTTTAATTGCCAACAAAAAAATTATCTATGGAGAAATAAAGATGACTAGCAATCACTTTCAACTTAAACTATCCCAAATGAATAATGAATAATGTTGAAGTAACTTTGGACAAGGAACGAAGGACAAGAAATAATGGTGAAGGAGAAAATCCCAAATGAATAATGTTGCAGTCACTTTGGACATGCAGTACTTCATCAAGCATACAAGCACAACAACATACTTACTGGATGTATCACATATTCACATGGGTCTCCAATAAGATATGAATGCCAGCTACTCTGCCAAAAAAGAAGGAAATCATTGAGGGTTCCATTTGCTCACCCATGAACAATGCAGGACAAACCGGCTAAAGACAAACAGTTTAGGATGGAAAATTGCATACTTTCACTAAAATTAATGTTTTAACCAAAACATGTTCTAACAATGATATATATATATATATATATATATATATATATATATATATATATATCATGATGAACCTTGAACTCTGTTGGTTTTATGCATGATTTATTAATAATGGAAATATCCAAGCAGAGACCTACAAATAGCTTACCTTTTGTTCATCGTTCGATTATGAATAATGAATATACACCAGCTGAGACCTACAAATGGCTTACCATTTTGTTCTTCTAGATTGTCATAATATGATTCTTCCAGAATGTTAACATGAAAAAGAACTCTGGTAAAATCTTTACGACACACATAAGTTCAGTTACAACTTACAAGGGGAGAAGTCCTCTTTTTGGTCTGTTTTCTCTTCCTCTTCACACCTAAAATTTTATATTCAGAACAATTTGAATATCAATAAAGCAAGAACTCAAGCAAATCCACCTACAAGAGAAAATTCAAAGCTACTCTTTAACTTCGGGATTTGTTCATTTGAGACTGAAATGAAAAACTCGCTAAGAAGGTTATTTTCTCCCCGTTTGAAACCACTCATAAATCACACCATACTCATTTAGCTTCTGAATCATTTCCTGGAGCAACTCTTAAATATAGATAAATATAGAATGTGAAGAGACCACCAGCATAGAAAATGAATTACAACATCAAGGACACATAAAGGATTAAAACCAGCGAGAATAGGAGTGGGCTGGTTGTCTGAAATCGTCCGTTATGTAATGCCTTAGGCGATGAGCAAGATTCCGATTCCTGCTATTTGGATAGGATGTGGCTCTACGCCATTTCTGCTTTACCTGATTTCGTTGGAAGCGTGTACCTGCTCTATGTGAGGTTGCTCCGTTAGTCAGCCTACTATGTAAGGGCCTGGTTGCAAGAATAGGAGATGATTATTTGAAGGATTTCCATGTTAGATGACACATTTGAAGGATTACTTAGGGAGGAGATGAAGGATTAATTACATACCTCAAATCGATGAGAATCGCTCTAGAAGAAAACCTAGCGATGACCAACAGGCGAGTCGCATAGCAGACCCCAATAACAGAGGCAGTCGGCGATTGAATGGAGAATGGCGCGGCAGTTAGGCTAGGGTTACGTTCATCGTGCAGAAGACCAAAGAGGAACGAGAGCGATATAATTCTGAAACGGGATAGGGAAATCGAAGTGTTGAATGTTAAACTCAATGGGCCGGCCCAAACTTACATTAGTACATAATTAGAATACGCGTGCGTTAAGTTCAATACTCCGTAAAAAAAGTGAAGCGTCACTACGGGTTCCTGATACATTTGTGTTAGAAAACAGTGACACTATTGTGTTATTGGTAGAATTATATCAGAAAGTGTCACTAAAAAAGTGTCACTGTAAGCCATTTTTCTACTAGTGTTATGACTTAACCTCACATAACTCCCGAGAACCTGGAAACACCTCAAATTGAAGAACCTCTGAATCTGGGGTTTCGGAAGTTAAGTTCCCTTTCAACATAAAATAAACTAGAGTACCTTCATCCAAACAACATTTATGACATTAACCTACACTAGTAGAAAACTGTCTTATAGTGACACTTCGTTAGTGACACTTTCTGATAAAGTGTCACTAATGGACGACATATAGTACTAACAGTGCATAAGTGTCGTACGTATATGACACAAAAACATCAACACATAATAGTGACACTAAATTAAAAAAAGTATTGAATTTTAACCTTAACAAATTTTCACTTTTCGTTTCCCTCCCAAAAATAAACCTCCCGCCATCTATTTTTGGTAATCCCACACCAAAACTTTCTCATCCACTTCTTTCTTTTAATCAAGTGACCGGTCAATTAACCCTTTCTTTCCTTACCCTTTTTTCCTCTCTATCGATTAACCCTTCTTTCTTTCCTTACCCTTTTTTCCTCTTTATCGATTAACCCCTTCTTTCTTTCCTTACCCTTCTTTCCTCTCTATCGATTAACCCCATAGAACCCTAGATACACCGATGTCACTCGCTTCGATTAGCTTCTCTGCTGATTACCATCGCCGCTGCTGAAGGCTACGAAGAACACCACCGACGGCTCTCGATCGTCAGGTAGCTTGGGAAGAACTTCATCGGTACGGTCAATCGCCATCTTCTGCGAAGAACACCACCGACGGCTCTCAATCGTCAGGTAGCTCTTCTCCATCTGGTTTTTTTGTTTTGGTGTAGGGGGTGTGATAGGCCTAGGGGTTAGTTAGTTTCAGAATGACCTGAGGTTTAATCAAAAACCAATTTGGGGAATTTGAAAAAGAGATGTGTGCGTCTCTGTCCTTCGGTTAGGTTAGGATGGGGGTTATTTTTTCTCAACTTTTTTCTAACTTGTTGCAAAACCTTGTCAGTTCCAGAGACAACAATGGTAAAAAGAGCCTTATCTGTGTTCAACCCTACAGCAAGAGACTCAATGTTGTAGCCTCTCCGGGCAAAAACTCCAGCTATTCTGTTAATTATACCACTTTCATCCCCAACGAACACTGAAATTGTATGACGCTTTGATCTGAGATAAAGTAAGTTAGAATTTTCGCCATATATATAAATACATATATGAACACATATACCATCTCAATCTAGAGAAAGTGAGCATCTTTTCTAGATTATCACATCATGAGAACAACTCTAAAATACTCCAAAATGAAAATATAATTTCCTACATAAAAAGGGTATAGATACTTTTTCAATATTTCTAGTCCAGAGATAATACAATAGCCCCCCTCCCCTAGTAACTTCGACCCAATACAGCCCCAAACACAAAGGCTGCCAACTCGAGAACATGGGTTGGGCAGTTTAACTCAGCTTCTTTAATTTTTTTCCCGACTGCATTAATACATCCTAGTCCTCCTAGACTAGCATCGTTGTATACTGAGTGAGGTTTGTACAGGTCAGTGACGTTGATAAGGTTTTGATGTTTATAAAAGGGGAAAATGAAGACAATAGTATTACTGGATTATTACTGCTTCAACATTCAAGAAGTACTTACCAAGATTGGATCTTTTTTCCATAAAAGCCTATCTATTATAGTTTCTAAAGTTATGTATATGTATGTCTATATATACGAAGTACTGGGTATGTGTGTGTTTTATATAGGCTATCTATTATACGAAATTTTTATTAATTTTTCATGCTAAGTTAACTTAAAATTTTCTATATACGAAAAATTTTAAGTTAACTGAAGTTACCTTTTCTTTCTACATATTTGTTGAACTTGGTCATTTTGAGATGAAAAATTGATCAACCCACACTTTTCTGGGATGACATGTTTTGAAGGACTACATTTGTTTTGGGAGGGGAGTATGTTTACTTCAAAAAGTAAGAGTCTACAATACGATAGTGAAAACAAAAGGACTGCTTAAGTGATTTGTGATTTCACTTTGTGAGAGTCTATGATCTTCTCCCGCATAGACTCTACTATTTAAGTTGTTGTTTAATACGATAGTAAATTCTTTTATTAAAAGCTGGTTGTTTTTGGATCTTATAAATGTTTTTCTTCATAGTGACATTTTCTTCTCAAAGTTGTGGATAAGCACTTTAATATTTGGATGAAACTTACTGCTTTTAACGTTATACTATGTTAAAAGAAGCTCATTGTTTTTATCCTAAACCTACTACAGTTTCACTTTATAAGTTTTACTACAATTAATATCTCACCAAACTTAAGGAAGCATCTTTATCATCTACAATTTACAAATAGCAGTGAAAACAAAGATGACTTGCAAGATCGATTTCTAAGAGAGTACTGTAAGTTTTTGTTTGATGAAGATTCTTTAAATTCAGTGGAAAATTCATTTGTTTTAACTATAAGTTTTTTCCTTACAAGTACTACATTATTAATACACTATCTATTTTAGCTATTAAATTCTTTTCATATAATTTGTAGAAGAAATTATCTAAGTATATGAGATAAACACAAACACTTCTTATGGCTTATAGAAAAGTACTACTTTTTTTAATGTAGTTTTCCTAATTTGCATTTCGATGAGGTGTTAAGGTTGAGATTGAGACTGTGGTTTTCTTAATTTGCAGAATCTCCAAAGGCTTCTTTTAAGATCTGATCTATGGATTGACTGTCTAGGCACGCACGGTCTACAAATATTTTTGTTTCTATAACTCCCTCAAGAGGTATGTTTCTGAAATTGTCTGGTGCTAAAAATTCAATACATTATATTGAAGTACTTCTATTATAGTTTCTAAAGTTATGTATATGTATGTCTGGTGCTTCTTTTAAGATGTGATCTTTTTTTCCATAAAAGCCTATCTATTATAGTTTCTAAAGTTATGTATATGTATTTCTATACATACGAAGTACTGGGTATGTGTATGTTTTATATAGGCTATCCATTATACGAAATTTTTATTAATTTTTCATGCTAAGTTAACTTAAAATTTTCTATATACGAAAAATTTTAAGTTAACTGAAGTTACCTTTTCTTTCTACATATTTTTTGAACTTGGTCATTTTGAGATGAAAAATTGATCAACCCACACTTTTCTGGGATGACATATTTTGAAGGACTACATTTGTTTTGGGAGGGAAGTATGTTTACTTCAAAAAGTAAGAGTCTATAATACGATAGTGAAAACAAAAAGACTGCTTAAGTGATTTGTGATTTCACTTTGTGAGAGTCTATGATCTTCTCCCGCATAGACTTTACTCTTTAAGTTGGTGTTTAATACGATAGTAGATTCTTTTATTAAAAGCTGGTTGTTTTTTGGATCTTATAAATGTTTTTCTTCATAGTGACAATTTCTTCTCAAAGTTGTGGATAAGAACTTTAATATTTGGATGAAACTTACTGCTTTTAACGTTATACTATGTTAAAAGAAGCTCACTGTTTTTATCCTAAACCTACTACAGTTTCACTTTATAATCATGACTGTATGTTTGTATATGATCAAAATGATTGCATAAGTAAACCTTTCTGGTGCTCAAATTAAAATCCAGTCTAGCATGTACACTTGGGAAAACACATCTATTTTCGTAAAGTACTCAAGGCTCAATCCTAGAAGTACAACCATATGTGGTTTTCAAATAGTACAAATATAACACTCAAGACTAACTTGAATAATATTTGTGGTCTAGAAATTAGTAGTAATATATACTTCAGAAAAGTGTGAAAATAATATTTGAATAATATTGTTTTGTAGTAAAAAAACAAAAAAGCACTTCGCATAAGATGTACTTTATTTTATTTTTTGTAAAAATGATCAGTTAAATGTGACAAATTGGAACTCAATTATCAGGTAACATTCAAATGGACAAATCATGGATAAAGAATGACAATAGGTTGTCTGAAGAATACACGGATGGAGTCAATGATTTCATAAACTTTGCTATGCTTAACTCCGAAAACCGTAGATCACTTAGATGTCCCTGTAACACGTGTTGCAACATGGACTTTCACAGTCCTGAAAAAGTTAAAGTCCATTTGCTTAAATATGGGTTTCTGAATACGTACCTTGTTTGGAATTGGCACGGAGAGGTTGAAAAACCATCATTTTCTTTTCACTCACAGTCAGCCCTCCATGATCAAAGCCAACTTGAGGACATGTTAGGTAACGTTTTTGAACAATTTGATAGTCACCCAAAGAATTTTAGGGATGTAGTTGAAGATGCCGAAAAGCCATTGTACTCGGGTTCAAGTTATTCGAGGTTATCCGGGTTGATGTTGTTGTATAATATAAAGGGGAAATATGGGTGGTCTGATCAAGGATTCACAGCTTTGTTAGAAGCAATTTCAAACTTATTACCCGCAGAAAACACCATCCCGAAATCTATGTATGAAGCTAAGAAAATATTGAAAGTGTTAGGGCTAGGCTACCAGAAAATACATGCTTGTCGTAATGACTGCATTCTTTTCCATAAAGAGCACGCTGATCTTGACAAGTGCCCAACATGTGGAGAGTCTAGGTGGAAGGAAAAAAAAAACGGAGCTATAACAACTATCAACAAAGTTCCAGAGAAAGTTCTTTGGTATTTTCCTCCCATTCCTCGGTTTAAACGTATGTTTCAGTCACCGAAAACCGCAGAATACATGACATGGCATGCAAACCAACGCATTAAAGATGGCAAACTGCGCCATCCAGCAGACTCTCCTGCTTGGCACCATATTGATAACACATGGCCTGATTTCGGTGTAGAGTCTAGGAATCTAAGATTAGCTCTTTCAAGTGACGGAGTTAATCCACACAGTTCCCTTAGCTCTAAATATAGTTGTTGGCCCGTTCAGTTAGTAGTTTATAATCTTCCTCCTTGGTTGACTATGAAGAGAAAATTCATGATGTTGTCTCTATTAATATCTGGGCCTAAACAGCCGGGCAGTGATATAGATGTGTATTTAAAGCCCTTGATTGATGACCTAAAACCCCTCTGGAATGATGGGGTAGATGTTTATGATGGGTTTAGAAATGAAACCTTCAACTTAAGGGCTGTATTGATGTGGACGATTAGCGATTTTCCGGCATATGCCAACTTGAGTGGGTGTACTGGAAAGGGGTATTACGCATGTCCAGTTTGTGGTCCTTCAACCTCCTCAACCTGGCTAAAATGCAGTAAGAAGTGTGCTTACATGGCTCACCGCCGTTTTTTGCCTCATGATCATAAACTAAGAAATATGAAAAAATTGTTCAACAATAAAGTAGAAAGAGAAGGACCTCCTGCCACCTTGTCGGGTCAAGATGTCCTTAAATTGGTGGAAGATATTAATTATAAGAGTGGAAAGAAAAAGGGAGTCAAAAGAAAGCGTACGAAAAAGAACGAAGACATGAAACTGAAATTGTTTAAAAGGAAATCAATATTTTTTGATTTGGATTATTGGCAACATTTATTAATCCGACATCTCTTAGATGTGATGCACATTGAGAAAAATGTGTGCGAGAGCATCTACGGGACGCTACTTGATCAATCCACAAAGACAAAAGATGGCATTAAGGCTCGGAATGACCTTCTTCATATGAAGATTAGGAAAAAGTTAGTTCCCGATGATAGTTCTAATTCATTACCTCCAGCACCATACACCTTGTCCAAAGCAGACAAAAAAAAGTTTTGTCAAACCATATTGGATATCAAGGTTCCAGAAGGTTATTCTTCAAATTTGAAAAGCATAGTGTCTGAAGATGACAGTAATCTTCAAGGTCTTAAATCACATGACTGCCATACCCTGATGCAACAAATTCTTCCTCTAGCCATTCGAAACTTATCTCTCTCAAAAGATGTTACCAATTCTATAACTGACATGTGTCTGTTCTTCAATGCATTATGTGAGAAGGTGCTGGATAATGATGCACTTGACATACTAGAGGCTAATCACCGGGTTACACTATGTCGTTTGGAGCAATATTTCATGCCTGCTTTTTTTGATATAATGGTTCACTTAACTGTTCATCTCGTTGCCCAAGTTCGGTTGTGTGGGCCAGTTTACCTATGTTGGATGTATCCTTTTGAACGATTCATGAAGTTTTTAAAAGGTTATGTGCGTAACCATTACCATCCAGAGGGATGCATGGCTGAATGCTATGTGGCAGAGGAAGCGTTAGAGTTTTGTGCTGAATATCTTTCAAATCACGAGTCAATTGGATTACCTGTGAATTCGGGTGAGGATGGGAAACCTGAAAGGCCGATAGGACGTGGAGACACGCAGACTGTTGATTCCTCACTACTTGAGCAAGCACATCGTACCGTGCTGTTTAATACCCCTGGAGTCCAACCTTATATACAGTATGACTTAACTTTTATAAAACTCTTACTTAATTTTTCTTCACTTCCATATTTAATAAGTTTTCTAATATTATCCAAATAGGGAACACATGGATATATTACAGTCACAGGATATTGCTTGTTGTGATACGGAGCATTATCGTACATTTGTTAACTGGTTTGACGAGAAGGTAGTTGATAAATCTAACCTTATCTATATACATAACAAATAATAAGAATCAAATTTACTTAAAATTTAATATTTATTTGTAGGTTTGTCTTGATGTTGCAAATGGTGTGACTGTCGCTGAAACAGTGAGGTGGTTAGCTAAGAAGCCTAACACAACAGTGACAATATACTCAGGCTATAATATAAATGGGTTTTCCTTTGCAACTAAGGATCGAGATTCGAATCGGGTAACACAAAATAGTGGTGTTAGACTCGTAGCAGAAACTGTTCAAGTTTCCAGCTCTAAGGATAAAACTCCATGTTCAGCGTCGATGAATTATTATGGGGTCCTTGATGAGATTTGGGTCTTGAACTATCTAATGACTAAGAGAGTTGTTTTCAAGTGTTCTTGGGTAGATAGTAGGCATGTGAAAACTGACAAGTTGGGCTTCACAGTAGTGGATCTTAATAAGATAGGTCAGAAAAATGATTGTTTCATTTTAGCTTCCCATGCCAAACAAGTTTTTTATGTGAGAGATCAACTTGATCCTAAAAAATCAATAGTGTGTTCAGTTGGGCAGAAGGTTAGTAATGGTATGGATGTTGACAGTGATGAAATGATATTACACGAACCTTTAACTTCACAATACCCAAACCATTTTAACGATGCGGAAGCTGAAGATGATGATCAAATTTATCATAGGATTGATATTGATGCAATTCCAGTACCCAATGAGTCTCAATTACCCTGATTTATGTACTTCATTCAGTAAGTTATAAGCGTAATTGAATCATTCTTCTATTTTGATTCCTTACTATTTTGATTTTCACTAATTAAATAATAACCGCATATTTGTATTATATGTATACAGGTGAAAGCTAGCCATGTCAAAGTATGAAGAAGTCGTGGATGATTTTGATGTGGACGAAGGGTTGGAAGATTTGGGCCAACGCCCTAAAAGGAGACAAAAGACAAAGAAGAAAATGCTACTAAAGAAAGCTGCAGATGATAAGGTGGTGGTAAAGGTGAATAGCTTTGGTGTTCATGCAGGTAAAGAATGGACAGAACTGACCAATTATATTGGTGCCTTAGTGCGGGATCATGTTTACATAGTGCATGATGAATGGAGACATGTGAAAGTTAAACTTAAAGATGAAATGTGGAACCATCTTAAGGTAATAAATAATGTTTGTTGAAAAACAAGGCTATATTTCAGAACTCTTAATCTGCTAGAGGGCTAACAACTTTATAATAAATTGTATGTAGGAATTGTTCGTGTTGAGTGACAATTCAAAAAAGCATGTGTTAGCTACTATGAGTGTAGCTTTCAGAAATTTCAAATCTACACTGCGAACTGACTTTATCTATCAACATGAGGATGAGCCGGAGAAGTTAGAGTTACCTCCCGCGGAGTACAAACACATTTCGAAGAAAGAATGGAAATTATTTGTGAAGAAGACTTTCTCCGAAGAATTTGTGGTAAGTTATACTCCTACACTTCAAGATTTTTTGGTAAACTGTAAAAGACCTACAATTTGAGTATTAATTGGTTTCATTTCAGGAGAAAAGCAAAAAAGCGAGAGAACGGCGAAAAAAGCACAATTTGAACCACCGATTGGGTTCTACTGGATATGGAGGCTTGCTTTTAAAGCAGGTCCTTCATCAATGACTATGAATGCCTATTATTATAACAATATATAGTGTTGAGCTACGTATTCGTCCATTATATTACTGTTTCACTTATTCTTCTTCTAATTTCCAGCAAAAAGAACTTGGAGTCAAAAATCTGGAAGACATTGATCGTTGTGATACGTGGTTGCTTGGCAGAAAAAAAAAAGATGGGACCTATGATGATGATGTCAAAGAAGTGGCAAATGAAATAGTAAGTGTAACTATATTTTTCATATTTAAAAATGTTAATGTAGAACTTCTTTAGCAACTAACTATGTTCCCTCAACCTTTGTTTAGGAGGACCTGAAGCACAAAGTACAGGAGGGGTCGTTTGTGCCTAGTGGGGATGCTGATGTTCTTTCCACTGCTCTTAAGAAAAAACCCAATGGCAGTAGAGTTCAAGGGTTGGGACACTTCATAACCCCAACACAATACTTCCACAGGCCAAAAGAGACAAGATCTGAGCGGGAAAAGGAGCATGAGATGTGTGAGCAAAGGTACAAGATGATGGTTCTTAAGTTTGATGAAATGAGGACACAAGTGTCACATGCCATAAGTGAAATTGGCAGTTCAAGTATTCCCAACAAATCTCCTATTGTAAAGGTATACACACATTCTGAATTTTTTAGAATATCCTGCTTCATAAGACTCTACTATTGCTTAACCCTTGCATGTTCTTTCACTCATTCTGTTTTGATATATAAGTAACTTTTTATTGTTCAACCTTTGGTTATAACTATTTTGTAATGTAATTCTGAGTTATGGCTTAGGTTTAAAAAGTGACTGCTTATAATTCTATAAATGGAATGGAAACTTCTGAAACAAAAATAAAGGAACAAATGATAAAAACAAGAGTATAAGTTAAGTTATAACTTAAAATTAACTTGTTATCTAATCTGTTAAGTGAAGTTATAAAAATATAAGTGACTGCTGATTAAATTAGATTTTAAACTAGTTTATCTAATCTAAAGTCTAAACCAAACCAAAACAAGCATAACATGAAAACCACTTCTGACATGGTTAAGTAATTTTGATAAGTAATACCACTGGTAATAAGTAACATATGTGTTTGTTGATGTTATATCATTGATAGGCTGCTGAAGAGGTAGATCAACCAAAACTTACTCCAGTGAAGAGACGTCGTGGTACTGTCCCCAGGAGCTCCCCCCCACACAGCTCCAAGAAGAAGAAGCCCAAGCCAAATGAGAGTGAAGAAGAAGGAGATACAAAAGCAAAGCGAAAGGTATATAAATCCAACGTGTTTTTCAATATTTTTTGTAACACTAATATTATCTAAATATTTAATTAGGGACCTTATACTTTTTTAGTTTTAAAAGTATTCACTCTATATGGACTTCTTGAAAAGAAGTCTCTATATTAATATTGTATAGTATCTTGATGTTTTAAATAAATTTTGTAGGAAAATCCTTAGTAGGGAACCAAATAAAATCCTCCAAATCACAATTTTGTATTGGCTGCCCTTCGCCATTGCTAAAATGATGTGCCTTACTCAGTCACTTATGTCATTGTATGCTTACCAGTTTACTCTAACACTTGCATCAGGTTAATTAACATATCCTTATTAATTGTGTATATTTATGAAGTTATTAACCTATTAATCTTCTGAATTTTGGTTATTAAGGCAACTGAAGTGCTAGAAGAACAAAAGTTGACTCCCCAGAAAAAACATCTCGCAGCAGTTTCAAGAAGGTCCCCGCGATTCATGCATATGAATAATCTTCCCGAGGAGAATGTAGTTAGAGCAGCTAATAACGCACCATTAAGTGAAGCATCACGAGAAGAGGTTGTGAGTGAACTAGGTGGTACTAAAACAAAGGTATTGTTTAATCATATTCTTTTTTATAATATAATAATCTGAATTTATGTTTTTTTAAAATTAAATCTTAATAATATAATTTAATAACTACTGTGAATGATGAATGATTATTTAATCATCTTAAGTTGAAGGTTGAACCTCCTCACCTCAAGGAAGAAGTCATTCCAGAGAAGTTCATTGAAGTTGAAGGTGGAGGTGTTGTAGTTGTTAAAGAACATGCAAGGGCTAAGATGAAGAAGTCAAGGCAACCACCGGCAAGGAAACTAATAATGCAAAGAACTACAAGGTTTGCTGCCGAAAAAAGAAAAGAGCAAAGCAATAGCATGAAGATGTTTTCTATGCTAGTTGACAAATGCCTAGGAGATGGGTACATGGTCGAACATGATGCTGAAATATTCGGGTTTGCAACTAAATCTATTTTCAATAAGGATGTGTGCGGCCTTGTAATCAACTTTGAGCAGGTGAACAATTCTGTTGTAGAAATCTGGTCTAGGTAAGTTTGATTTATAATTTATTTAAGTTATCCATTCTGAAAATTATCATGAGTGGTTAATTTTCTTTTTTCATTTAAGTTAGTTTTGCAGCTCTATATGGATAAAACTCCATGTGATTTTTTTTCATTCAATGTGTAGGCACTTGCATGAGAAGATGCTTCAAGATGGAGGTAATATGCCAGTCCAATTTGGCACGTCTGCTGCAGTACCAGTACCATTGAAATCCTCAGATGAGTCCATTACAAGGAGGTCTCGATATATAGCAGATCTTTTGGCTGTTGGTTTGCTTGGCCAAATCACGCTAATCCCTTATAATACATGGTAATTAAAATGGTTAGAACTTAGAAGTATTACACTAAATCCTTCTCTGCACTGACCAATGATTTGACTTGGAGTACTACTAGTGAAAGTAGAGTTAGTAATCCTGCTGGTTTACATAAAAACACTTGCTGCAAGTGGATGGTCTTTTATTTTTAGTGGTCTACCAGTTTAAAAAAAACTGGTAATGCAAAGTGCAAATTGATTGTGCTCAATCTTTTATGATCTTTTACATTTACTTTTCTGGGGTCATGCAAATTAAAGTGCATAAGCTCATCTGTAAGAAATTGGTTGGTTTGTGTGATTGTGCTCAATTGCTATGGTGATGCATATTCAAATATCATAAGCTTTGTTTAACAATCCCGGAATTGATCTTAAAAAAAGTATTACACTAAATCTTTATTTTGCTACTGATTCGTATCCTTTTATTTCAACCTGGATTTTTTTATAGCAATTGATTAACTTTATAATATAACGTGTAGCAATCATTGGGTGTTAGTAGCTATTGATATTACGGCATGGACAGTGTACTATTTGGACTCAATTGGAGAGTCACTAATTGTGAACCAGTTAAGTTATTTTTGAGTGTCATAATTGTGGTACTTAATTACATGCATGTATGTAGGCCTTTTGTTGTAATTGTTTCAGTCAGAGCATTGTGTTGAAAAATAAACACTTTTAATTATAAGTCAATGAAAAAAATCATGTACTCATATCTAACTTGTATTTGAATATCAGGGGAGTGAAAATTCATCATGCCTCGGTTTCTAAGAAGAGGTTATCTCTGAATTGGGTAACAGTCATGGTATGTTATTCATTAAACTAAATTCTATTTGGCATGTTTACATTATGTTGTATAATAATACTAATTTGTACTTGACACTTATCTAGTGCCCTAAGCAAACTGGTTCTATGGAATGTGGATACTTCTTGATGAAGTACATGAGTGACATTGTTTGTGATGTTAACGTCCTGAAAAAGAATGTGAGTTAAACGTGGACTGTTTATATTTATTTTTGTGGAATAACATTAATTGAAGTTTGTATATGTTTGTACTCATTGTATTTTTATACTCTAGTTCTCAACAATAAAGAACTACTCTGAACAAGACATCTTGCAAGTGCGTGAGGAGTGGGCAGCATATGCAACAAAATTGGTCCTAAAGTAAGTTTTTTTTTTTTCATTTTGATTTATTATTGTTGCTGCCTTAGCTGATTATGAACTCGGTAAAGTAAATCATTTTGTCGTAGAAATGTTAAACTAACACGGTTAGACTAACTGTTAAGTAACAAAAAGAACTTCAAAAGTAAATGCAATGAAAAAGAATGTACATATTGTGCAATTAATTTCTTATACTTCTTGATGAAGTACATATTGTGCAATGTTACTTTACTAACTGAAAAGTAAATGCAATGAGAAGTGGGCAGCATATGCAACAAAAAAGAACTTGAAAAGTAAATCATTTTGAATTACACTGTTAGACGAACTTGAAAAGTAAATCAGTTTGTATCATTTTGAATTACACTATTGAACTAAATGTGTTGAACTAAATGTGATCCTTTAATTAGTGCAGGAGTTTCTAACATGAATTTATTAGCAAACTTCAATTAGTAGTAGAATACGAGTTTCAATTCTAAGCATTGTAATATTCTATAAAATTGTCATGCATATGTACATATTGTGCAATTAATTTCTTATACTTGTACATACTTTTTGTTTACAGATGCGGTTGATTTTGAATGGTGGTCTGGTGAAGATCAATTCTTGTACTTTTGATGTGAAGGAATATGTGCAACTGTTTTGCCTGTTACATTGAAAACTTCATGTTGAATTGTAGGTTCATGTTTTGTGGAATGTAAAACTATTATGCAATGCCCCGGTTAATTGTGGCGTCATTTTTGCTTGAAACTGAAAACATGCACCCATTTTGTTGTGGAAGTTGTAACCTAACATGAAGGATTAACAATGATGACTGAACACTATTATTAGATGATATGTATTTAAAGTTGGTTGTGTTTGTTGCATTACATCTTTTAGTGTATTGCTTGAAATATGAATAATTAATTTGTTGTCAAAATAAACATAGAAAGTAACGAAACTAATGTATCATGAATGCAAGATATAGTGCAGTGTCAAAAATGATATGACACCAAACCATCACAAAATATGAATGTGTATGTATGTCACTATATTTGCTGATGTTGGTATATCACTAAAAAATATGATACCATGGTATCACAAAAATTCTTGATATGTATATATCACTAAAAAACATGATGCATTAGTATCACAAAAATCCGTGTTACGTATATATCACAGTTCTCAATGATGTTTATATGTCATAATTTTGTGACACAAAAGTGATTTGTTAACGGTGACACAAAATTTTGTGTCACTTGCCCCGCTTTTCTGTGACACTTTCAGTGTGTCACTAAATCGTTTAGTGACACTAATTTACTGTCACCATAAGCCATTTTTTTACTAGTGCTAGGTTCACCTCATTTATTTCTAAATACCATTTTACGCATGAACCCGAGTTCACTTAGGTTAACCCAGTTTTTATTAAAACTCAGGTTTACTTTATTGTACTATGTTTACTCAAGTTCACTTTATTAAGGTGTCGCATATTAGAAATCTTGCTTTCTACCAGGACATTGGTGCAAAAATGATTTATGTACCCACTCTTATACCCACTTTTGTATCCACCTATGTTTGTGAAATGTTTTTTTTGTCTGTGAACCCCAGTTCACAGACAATATTTTGCACGGACAAAATATTGTCTGTGAATCAGGTTCACAGACAAAAAAACATTTACAAACATGGTGAGTATAAGGTGGGTATAAGAGTGGGTACATCAAACATTGTTGGACATTGGTGCCCAAATTACTTCCTCCAAACAAGTTATATGTCCGAATTGAAATTTGTACCGGGTTAAGATTTCTTTATCACGTTTAGGGTTTTTCATTAGGAAGAAATTTTAATAGGATCTGAACTTTTTCATGGAAATGCTCCACAAGTACGTGTTTTTAGATGAAAAGGGGAATGAGAGAGATTACCAGGACATGCGTATGACTCGATAAACTTAAAGAGAAAAGTTGTGCACAAGTTAATTCGTATGAACTATGAAGTAAACATTTGGATACTAAGCAAGTTTTACTAAGCAATGGCTTGATAGCGCAGAATTTAGTAACGCCGTTTACTAAGAAATAAAGTAAACATGTCGTGAGGAAGCGGTCCAGCCCAGCTGGTCGTCGACTCACTCTCTCTTACAGGAGGTCTTGGGTTCGAAACTCAATGGAGTGAGTTTCAGCCCTGATTGCTCCAACCCCAGTCCCCCTCCCCTAGACGCCCCCTAGAGTTAAAAAAAAAAAAAAAAAAAAGAGAGAACAAAAAGAAGAAGTAAACATGTCGTAAGTATGAAAAAGATCGTACACACTCGGTACCAATCCTACATAAGTTTGGGTTTGAGTCGAGCTTCATAAAAGGGCCCTATATGTAGGAGAAATGCTCAGATCCATCCGGAGGGACGGGAACCTCCGTCCAAACTTTGACATTTGGGGCGGTTCCCGGTGGAATTTTTTGATGAAATATTTTGAGCATGTTCATCATCAAGTCTAGTTTATTCATACCAAATTTCAGCTCAAAATTCGATCGGGAAGGCAGTCAAATCATTTTTTGAAGTTCACCGCGCCAAAATATACATATAAAAACGTAGTCAACTCCGCTGCTAGGGATACACAATCTTTGGCCGTCATATAGGTGTTGTGTTCTGCCGAAAAATAGAGTCTCACGAAAGGTGGACGAAAGCCGCATAAGAAAGCTGCACTTCGTCAAAGATGAAAACGGAGAAAACGGAGAAAGCTGCACTTAAGATGAATACACTATTTATTTGATTTTCAAAACAATTAAAATCATCAAATGAGGTGCTTTGCGCTTCAAGAATATTTTATGTCGAATTACTAACATTACTTTATCTGTCACCATAAAATAGTTATAACTATTCTCAGTCAAATACCATTACCAAATTAAGTAAGTTATTTCATTAATTACTAGAATTATAAAACAAATCATTTACCCACGAAGGGCCACGATGTAGCTAGAGGCCATGCTGAAAAGAATACATGCTCATATATTTTGTGCTTTCTGCGTTCTTTTTTAATTGCAACAGTCCACTTTTTACGTTTGTCAACGCACAAGTTTGGTCATTAATATTTTTTATTTCTTATTGATAAAAAAATAAAAAATATAAATTTTGAAAATTTAAAATGAGAAGAATTTAACAATATTTTTTAAATTTAATTTATAATACATTAATAAATAAAATAGAGTTAAAGTATAACACGTGAATATTGCAAAAAGTCCAATGTTGCATTTAAAAGAGAACGAAGCTAGTACTATTCTTTGCGGACGGCACCTAGGGTTTACCCCTAGGTTCAAACAGTTTTTCCGGCAACGACATAGCTTGTCTGGTGTTTGTTTTCAATTGAGGAACAGGGTTTCGCAAGGCTCCTCTTCGTACATAGATTTTGTAAAAGGTTTTATCTCGAGCAAATTGGATTGAGTAGGGTTTGCTCTTCGGATGCTTCGAGTGGTGCAGTGGAATTTCCTTCGGTTTGTTCATGTTTGTGCAATACTTCGACAAGGAGATGGAGGCGAATCACAGGCAGATCGAAGTGGATCCACTGGAACTGTTGGCTCATGCTTTTGGCAGAATGGAGATGGATGAAAATGATGAGGTTCAAGTGGTGGAAGCCATAGCTCCTGGCATTGCGGTTGTGGGTTCATCAGATAAAAAAATGAAGTGTTGAGATTCGGCCGCTCCATCAGTTTATCTTAGTTAATTCCGTTTTATTCAAATTTAGTTTCACTACTATAAAAATGGTCTATAGTGACACTAAATAAGTGTCACAGAAAGTTTTACTGACACTAGAAAAGTGTCATAGAAGGTTGGGAATTATGACACTAAATTTAGTGTCACTGGTAAAGTGTCAGTAATTTCTGATACTAACGTATCACAAAAAATTATGATAAAATAACATCACTTTATATTTTGACACCTTAGTATCAATTAAATTTATGATACATTGGTATCACATAATGTTGATTATATATAAATGTTTATATATATACATACACACATGAAATATAATATTATTACTTGAAAAATAAAAATGACAATGTATGAAAATCAAAAGGCTTTTTATTGAAAATAAAAAGAATTATCTTTTACAAATCAAATGTCACACACATTCCAACACAAACTCAACTAAATCTATAATAAACTAATTTGAGATCCTCCAACTACTATAAACTGCTAAATCAATAAATCAAATTTGTTGACCTTGAACTCTGTTGTTATCGTTGTTCTTGACTTGAGGGGAAGTAGATTTATGTTTTGGTTTAGGTTGTTAGCTTCGAAGCTCTCGCATGTTCAACGATTAGTCTCACTCAATTTTGGATGGACTACTATATTTCAGATCAAAGAGTGAGAGGACATGTTGGCTATGTGATGTTTAGAGGGGAATTTGGAATGCAATTGTGATTGGGATGTTGGTTACTACATTTAATATAAGTGCTCTTCTTTCAAAAGCTAGTGGCCATGCCGGTGAAGGACGACCCATCTTGTTCGATGAAACAAATACCTTCTGTGTGAAAAAATATGAATGGGTTCTTTTATTGAACTAATTCCAATATTTTTTCATGGTAAGGGGTGGATCCAAATTTCAATTCAGGGGCAATATTTGTATGAACAATATTTGTACACCCTATAAAAGTTTTTTGTTCTTTTACCCAACTTTTTTCCTTTTAAGTTTTAACCTTTCTCTTCCCACTCCCCTATGTAACTCTCTTCTGTACACGTACTCTCTCCCTTTCTTCATTTCCCTGTTTCTTTTCTTTCTTCTACACCCCGTCTATCAAATTGTTTATTTCATCCTTTGATTTCTTTATAACTCCCCTCTACCAAAAAAGCACATGAAGAACGACGTGAAGTTCCTGGAAAGGCCAATAGAGGACACCACTAGCTCACTGTTAAGGATGACAATTGTGATCAAAATGGGGAAAACCGTATTGATGGGGTAACTGGTACGGGGCGGGGAATACCCGTTTTGTTTTTATGGATAATGGGACGGTTATGATTTTCTACATGCCCGCCCCATTACCCATCCCGTTTATTTTTAGTTATATTTTTATTACATTATTATCTATTATTTGTCCCACAACTTCTAAAAAATGAGATTTTTCTCTTTTCATTGTGTTTATATGGATAATAGATGTAGTAACTATAGTGTGAATGAAAGTTCGTAATAGATTTTAATGGTTTGGTTTGATTATTATCATATTTTTTAATAGGTTGTCTTCTTTCTCGTCTTGTAGATATCGAAACTTTAAAGTAGTGTCTCACGACTAGAGTCGTCTAGGCGATGTCATTCTTCGTCTATTAAAAAAATCAATGACTCATTTAATAAAGAGATTACACGTGATTACCTGCAATTATATTGCTACCCGTTGAAGCGGTTATGGTTTTACTAAAAATTACCCGTTGGATAATAGGGCGGTTACTGGGCGAGGAAATTATTGACGCGACAAGTATGATTGTATGTAAAATCTATCCCCGATCCGCCCCGTTATCATCCCTGTTCACTATTTAGTTCCTCAGTCACTTTTAAGGTAATTTTAAGGTTTTTAATATCTATGACTTTTTTGAAGAAAAAAAATGAGTTTTTTCTCCTTTTCTTTTAATACGAATTAGTTTAAAAGGTTTTATTTTTTTCAGAATTTATGTTTTATTTGTGAATTAACGTTTAGGTTTGACTATTGTAATTTTAACTATTATACTTACTTATATTTTCCGATTTTATGTAAATTATACGGAGCATATGTCTTGATGGTGAATTCTTAACTACTTTCTTTCACTGATATATGGTTGTGATGTAAATTATTGAAATTTTAGTCGAACTATTGTATTTTAGTTTATGACCATTGTTTGTTGAAATGATTCAATGAAATTCTTATT